AACGTAGTCTGGGGGAGTTGGCAGGGGCACGAAACTTATTGAGAGCCACAAGAGATAGGGGGAAGTGGAGAGCCATGATCGCATACGTTCTGAAAGGACACGGCACATAAAAAGAAATGTGCAATGGTATAGGTTCAACTGGGCAAAATTGTGTGCTTATATATAGATAGGTATGAGTAATATGTAGAAAGTTGTAGGTATTTCATTGGTCCTTTATATTTCTAAACATATTCAAAGTTCATGGATTTACATACGATGTAGATAAGCATTTGTAGGATGTACAAGATGATTTTTTAATGATCGGTGCCGTTTCGACTAATCGTAAATTTCCAGCTTTTACAGACAAAGTCGACTTGATTGTTCAACGGAAGGAAAAGAGATCAAAGATTAATTCGGTGTTAGTTCTGTCTTTGCTAGCAATAGGAACACTTTGGGCTTATTTGTAATATGTTTGCTTTTTCCTTATTCCAGCTTTTAAATATTTTATGTTTCTATTAACTTATTTTGTATTTGTTGCGATATCATGAGGAAACAACCTTCACGTATCTTTTTAGTATCTCCGCGAAATCGCTAAAAAAACAGCATACAGTGATGGACAAATGCTCCAAACTTGTAAATTACATTTAGTTTAAAAGCAGAAGACCTTGAAGAATATAAATCATCGATTTTTTATAAAATCGAATCACACAATTACCGAAAATCAACTCTGAATTGTAATATATAAAATCCAATAAAATTAAGACATCATTTAATTTTAAAAAAAGCTTTTAATGGCTTTTATGAATAATGTATGTTAAGGACAATATTGTGTGAAGCCAAAATATTTTTCCGATGAAAAATGAATTTTTACAAGAATTTTTTCTCTTTTCTTTTTTAATTTCAAATACAAAATGTGCTAAAGTTGTTAAATATTTTAAAATCAAGTTTCAATCCGTAAATTTTAGGGAATATTGTTATTAAGTAGACCTACCTTTACATGTCATAAATTTGAAAGCTTATTACAATCTGCGATGCACATATATTTTAAAAAAGAATTTTATGCTATTTTTTAAGTGTGCATAAAAAGTTATTTTTCTAAGTATATGGATGATCGTACGTGACATTAATGTTTTCGTACTGCGAACGTGTGTTGAAATCTATGATTGATTTTGACGATTATCGCATTTTCAAAAGTTTTATTTTTTTACATCCTATTAATAATAAAAACAATAAAAAATACTTTGGTCTTTCCTCTTAATAATAAAATAAACATTTAAAGGATAAAAAGTTTTTCATCAAGTTTGGGGCCTTTTTTCATCATGGTATGCTCTTTTTCAGCGAATTAGTGAAGATACATACTTTTTAGCAATCTATCTTCCTCTATCCTATATATATATATATATATATATATATATATATATATATATATATATATATATATATATATATATATATATAAAAATATGATATAGAAATTTCTATATATCAGAACAAAGTTAGGCAACTGAATGACAAAGTGGAAAAATTCTGGGTAAAAAATGTCTAATTTCCGAATTGATGGAGTTTATCTCCTCTCCATACTCATATACAATCCCATCAATAAGAATAATACTTTAGTCTGATGGAATTTAATACATACATACATACATACACAGGTGATGAGACATAGCTTTATGGTTACGACTCGGAAACCAAATTCTAGCCCACCCTCCAATGGAAGCATCTGTCATCACCAAGACCTTAAAAAGAGCGACAGGTTTGCAGCAATGAGAAGATAATGTTGACCTATTATTTTTTTTTGACTCACATGCTACTGTGCATCATAAATACGCACCAGAAGGCCAAACAATCAATAAATAATACCACCAGGAGGTTATACGTCGCCTTCGTGATACTGTGCGTCGAAAGTGGCCGTACATATGAGCGGCGAAGAATTGGCAATTTCACCACGACAATGCGCTCACTCATTTCGTCTACATAATGCGGGCTTTCCTGGCTAAGGACAATACACCACCTGTTTGACAAGCTCTCTACACTCTCGACTTGGTACCGTGTGACTTTTGGCTCTTCCCCAATCTGAAAAGCAAGCTGAAAGGGAAGCGGTTTGAGTCATTAGCAGAAGTTATAAGAAAAGCGACGGAGGAGCTCCATAATATTCCGGTGAAGGCGTTCCAAAGCAGTTAGCAGCAGCGGTTGAATCACTCATCAGCAGTGCGCATCCACTACCGAGAATTGAAACGCTGACAGTTAGGTTATCATGCAAACGTCATACCAACTGTTCCAACGAAGAGGTAGCAAATCAGACTCAATATATCGCCGCTCGCCCACATATTCCGTGGTGGAACTCAACTGTTAGGGTTTCAATTCTCGATAGTGGATTCACATTGCTAATAAGTCACAAATATAGGACGAAACGGCCGTCCAGTGCTTTCTGCATTCTGTTGAGGTTTCTTTCAGACTCGATGAATTACTTTAATTTACTTTTGGGGCAGGAGTAAATAGTAGTGTCGTCTGCATAGATGCCTACTTGGAACAGAGAATGCCCCAGGATAGAGCCTTAGGGAACACCTGAGTTCATGGGGAAGGAACTGGAGGAGAGTCCATTAAGGACGATCTTGATTACAAGGTTTGACAGGAATGATCGTATTAAGTTAAATAATCGACCAGAAATTCCGTATCCCTGAAGCTTACGATGGAGGCCGGCATACCAAACCCTATCAAACGCTTTAGAGATATTCTCCGTTATTGTGAAGTGCTTGGTAAACAATTCCAGTTATGGAGATGAGCACATCAGCTGTAGAACGGGCAAAGCAGAAACCATATTGCTTGTCAGTGAGCAGATCATGGGATATAAGGTGCTTAGCCACTTCGGCGTTGATTAAAGCTTCAAAGACTTTGCCGAAGAGTGGTAAGAGACTGATAGGACAGTTGATAGATGGGTCAGAAGGGTCTCCAGAGTTCTTAGAGACAGGAACAATAGATGAGGACTTCCAACAGGCTGGAAAACAAGATTCATTGAGGCAGTTTGGAGAGGGCAGGGGACTACTTGCCTTAAAATTGTTATCCTCTTGAAGTACATCGGTTGATGTTCGTTTTATTTTGTATAGTTATAGTTTATTTTGGGCGCACGGCAAACATGTTATTATCATTATATAATAATAATAAAATAATAATAATAATAGTAGGGCCTGTTTTATGGGACTTGACAATACACACAGACAAAACAATCAAAGCTCATCGCCCAGACATCGTGATCACAGCCCACAAAACAGAATGCGCTTTCTTATTGACACTGAAGACTGTAATGTATCCTTGAAGATCTTAAAAAAAACTATCAAAATACAAGGATATTGAAGTGGAAATCACAAAAATGTGGCACACGAGGACGTCAATAATGTCAGTTGTAATTGGGACCCTCGGATTGAGTGAAACAGGTTCCGATAGACTGATGGAAGGGGTTTCAAGTAGACCATGCCTTAATAAAAAATACAAAAGAAATACACTCACAAGTACTGCTCACACATGATGAAAAGCTTTATCTATGTAAAATGTGTGTGATCTTTATGTTTTTTTTTTGTTGTTTTTACAAAAATGATTTCTGACCTTAGGTTGGGACTCGGATGGAAATGTGTATACAACAGAAACCAAAGGAATTAATAATAATAATAATAATATGGGATTACACAATACACACTGACAGAACAATCAAGGCCAACCGGCCAGATATTGTTATTAAAGACCACAAACAAAAACGGTGCCTCCTTATTGATATGGCAGTCCCTGCTGACTGCAATGTATCTTTGAAGATATTCAAAAAGTTGTCAAAGTACAAGGACCTTGAAATAGAAATCTCGAAAATGTGGCATATGGGAACATCAACAATCCCTGTTATAGTTGGAGCCCTAGGACTGGTTGGAAAAGATTCCAGTAGACTAATTGAAGGGATTCCTGGAAGTCCATGCCTCAAGGAGATACAGAAAATTGTTCTGACAAGTACAGCCCACACCTTACGAAGGGCTTTATCTATGTAATTTTTTTTTTTTTTTGTCAGTGGAAAGTGTCATGACGCCATTTCTAACCTTAGGTCCCTGGGCGGGACCCGGAAAGAAATGTGTAAACGCCAGAAATCAAAGAAAATAAAAGTAATAATAATAAATAATAATAATAATAATAAACCGCAGTAACATATCAGTCGTTCTTAACGAAACTTGTATAAAATAGGGATTACTACACAATTATTAAATTATATATATATATATATATATATATATATATATATATATATATATATATATATATATTGCCAAAGAAAAGGAATGTTTCTTTTTAAATCTCTTAATTACTTCTCTTGTTGGCGTACTGTGGGAAGATGAATAGAGATATAGTGATCACTACAAACACCTTCGTAATTAACATTAGACTCATCCAACTCTTTTCGAATCCTCTACACTGTCCTCAGATTGACACTCAAACACTCTGAAATGTTCGAATTAGAACTTATGGTGCGTATGCCAAGGAGTACAGCATGCCGTTTCCAAATTTCTGACGGAGTGGATTGCGTCATGTTGGTCCTTTTCTCATAGACGGCGCCCAACTGACCCTACTATACTGTGCAGTCAGCAAAATCATAAACAAACGACGAACATGCGCGAAATTAAAAAAAATAAAATGGCGACATTTTACCTATCGCACCCTGTATATAATAATAATAATGGTAATGAATTCTTCGTTGTCAACATAAGTAGTATTTCCACAGGTTCAGCTATTGCCAATTAAAACATTACGTGGTGGACAGTTCCACTCGTTGACTGTGTGTCTCAATGGCGACTTTGATCTCTTAGTTTCTAAAGAAACCTGTTCACTATTCCCTGACAGAAACTTCCGACAAGATGTAAACAAAACGCTCATAAAGATGCGTGGAAACAGAACTGACCAAATTAGTTTCGTTTCCTGAATTTTTTTTCCAGCGGTTCTATATTTTTCTTATTTTTTCGCCTTTTTAGCATTTGACGCTGTGTAAAATGTATGCAGAATCAGATCTGGCGACAGGAGAAAGATCGGGATATAGATACGCTGAAATAAAGGAATCAAGCCCAGTCTTTAATCTATCTATCTATCTATCTATCTATCTATCTATCTATCTATCTATCCCAGTCTATACATTATCTATCAATCTATCTACCTAGCTAGTGCAGCTAGTCAGTTCATTCTATTCATATCTATCTATCTATCTATCTATCTATCTATCTATCTATCTATCTATCTATTGTTCGCTATTTCCGTCTGTTCGCTATCTATCTATCTATCTATCTATCTATCTATCTATCTATCTATCTATCTATTCCAGTCTATACATTATCTATCAATCTATCTACCTAGCTAGTGCAGCTAGTCAGTTCATTCTATTCATATCTATCTATCTATCTATCTATCTATCTATCTATCTATCTATCTATCTATTGTCCGCTATTTCCGTCTGCTCGCTATCTATCTATCTATCTATCTATCTATCTATCTATCTATCTATCTATCTATCTATCTATTCCAGTCTATACATTATCTATCAATCTATCTACCTAGCTAGTGCAGCTAGTCAGTTCATTCTATTCATATCTATATCATCTATCTATCTATCTATCTATCTATCTATCTATCTATTGTCCGCTATTTCCGTCTGTTCCATTCATTCTATATCTATCTATCTATCTATCTATCTATCTATCTATCCAGTCTATACATTATCTATCAATCTATCTACCTAGCTAGTGCAGCTAGTCAGTTCATTCTATTCATATCTATCTATCTATTATCTATCTATCTATTATCTATCTATCTATTTCGTCTGTTATCTATCTATCATTATCTATATCTATCTATCTATCTATCTATCTATCTCACTCTATACATTAAATCTATCTAGCTACTGCAGCTAGCTAGTTCAGTTTATTCATATCTATTTATCTACCTCGTCCCATGTTTACGATCATAGCACGTTAAAACACCGCTTTTTATATACGATCACCGAAGTTAAGCAATGTCGAGACTGGTCAGTACCGAGATGGGTGACCGTTTATGAATACCGGGTGTTGTAATCTTTGTTGTGCGACTGGTGTAATAGGAATCGAAGAGCCCAGTTCCAGTCGATTTCGTTTTATTTACTTACGCGTAAATTATTTCTTAGGGAAAAGTATAAATCCATCTCTTCTTTCCCAAGCTAAGTAGTCGGATTTGTACCATTAAATTCCTTTTACCATCGAAACATTCTTACAATCTAACAATATTTTCTATCTTTAAATAACTCGTAAAAGAATGATAAGCCGTAAAAAGCAAATCATATCTAGTCTCCTTTATATATATATATATATATATATATATATATATATTAGTCCTGACCTGGCATATCGGCTTAAGTTACTTTCCCACTGCATTTACTATAAATTCTTTCATGGTAATATTGATGAACCTTTCTCTACGGTGACGAGATATTAAGAATTTTAGCGTTAATGTCATTATTATTTATTAGGGGCAAGGTCATCATTTTATTTTTCTCTGTGATACTTAGACTTTAAGGTCAGAAATAGTTTCATGTCATTTTCCACTGATCATTTTTGTAAAAAAAAAAAAATAACAAAAAAACAAAACAAAAAAATAATAGTGTTTTTTCTCATATTCTTTAACATTCAATAATTGCTTTGCGTCTTTGTGGCTTTATTGCCTTGCTTGGGGTGAAATTATTAAAAAATATGAAAACACTATCTGTCTTTCTTTTCATATCGATCTCTTTCAGATAGTTATTTGCTTTTGGAAAAAGGTTCTCCTACAAGAATATTGAAAATATGCTCTCATTGATACAATCCTTAAGTGAATCTGTAGGTAACAAGTTAATTTGGGACAATAAGGTAATTGTGTTTCGAGGAATGCAGGAAACGTTATGAATAATGCAGTTGTGTAGGCAGATAAGCAATTATGAATATAACTATAACTTATGGAGAGAGCGATGATTTCAATGTGCGTTTTTTTTTTTGGTTTTTTCATCCGTTTAGCATCTTCGTGTGGATAAGTTTTTTTTAACATACAATAACAACTAGATACCGTCGAAAATCTTTAGAACACTTTTCGTTCTTAGAATCACTGGCGGCATAGAACTGACGATACAAAATGGTAAGGGGTGTTGATGACGTATCAGTGACGTCATTCACGGTTCGGAGAAGGTTAAAAACTGGGTTTAAAGCCGTTCGGTGTTGTTTCCAAAACAGTTGAGAAGTCGAGTTAGGTACGGGCAGACAGACACACAGGCGAGTGGTTGTGAGTTGAAAGGTCGTTTTTGCTCGATGTTTTTGGTCGAGTTGAGTGTTGGAATTGCGAGGAAATCCGTTGAACAAATCAGTAAGCATGTGAGAGAGAGAGAGAGAAAGAGAGAGAGAGGGTGGGAGGGAGAGAGCAGGAAAGAGAGAGCAAAAGAGTGACAGATGAAGGGAAAGAAAGAGAAAATGACTGAGAGAAAGATAGGGATATATAGAAAGACAAGGAGAGTGCGATAGTGGGAAGAAAGAAAGAAAAGAGAAAGAGTAAGAGATAGAGGGAAAGAGAGAGAGAAAGAAAGAGAGTATCTGTGATTTTCATAGCTGAAGATATGATCGGTCACATGCTAAAGATCAGTTTATGCCACACGGATAACACGAATGTTGCAAGTATCTTACCAGCCAACATTGTTGCTAAAATATTTCACCCAATTTATCCGTCGTAAGAATTAAGACGAGACAAAGGTCACATTTTAAATGCCGATTTACATAGCAGATTATTATCTATCTATTATTCATCTCCCTACCTATCTATTTCATTCTGGTCAAATCTCTCTCTGTTTATATATATATATATATATTAAGACATTTTTATCTTTATACATTTTTTTTATAGATACAAATATTTAAGTAAATGCTCTGTTTATAATAAATAGTATTAAACAACATTTACCGGCCTGAATGTCCGAGAAGTTTTCACAGAAAATATTCGTCTTCCGACAGGATTCGAACCTGTGACCTATACGGAACCGTCATTTAGATTGACGTGCCTTTAACCGATTTGGCCACAGAGGAGCGTTCGGTTGGCAAGGTCGAATTTACTGTATATATATATATCCACTAATATCCGCTAATAAATAATAATGACATTAACGCTAAAATTCATAAAGTTTCGTCACCGTAGAGAAAAGTTCATCAGAACAATTGCCATGAAAGAATTTATAGTAAATGCAGTGGGAAAGTAACTTAAGCCGATATGCCAGGTCAGGATATATATATATATATATATATATATATATATATATATATATATATATATAAAGGAGACTAGATATGATTTGCTTTTTACGGCTTATCATTTATATGTGGAGAGAGAGAGAGATAGAGAGAGAGAGAGTGAGAGTAAGAGAGAGAGAGGGTGTCCCCATAAAGTGATATTAAGTGGTACGGATAATTACAAGGAGGATATTAATCCAGGGTGGGTTCAATGTAGACTACAGAGCACAGTAATACTAATACTAATCATTTTACTAAGAGATTTCGGTCTGAAGAGATAAATATGTAGATATCCACGAAATAAATTATAACCGAAATGAATCTTTAAGGTTTTCTTCTTTTATATATATATATATATATATATATATATAGTTATCTATCCCATTCAATTCCTATTTTTCTTCTCTCTTTATCTGTCTCAATCTGTTCTCGTTTATTAATCTCTTCTATACAAAAAATCGTATAGATGAAGGTAAATGCGCACAAATTAACAATTTTCAATAGAAAGTTGTTAACAGGCGAAAATATTCAAATCTACCAGCGATCATCAAAGCGTTTGCAGCCATTTTGAATATCTCGAGAAGTAATTGCGCGATCTTGGTAAAACTTGACAGCCAATCAGAGAGGACTTTAATGTGCATGTCTTGGCATAAATTCTCCCGTTTGGTTACTTAGTCGTCAATGGGAGGACATTGATTGGGCGTGGTTACTGTGTTGTCGACGCATTCAGTATGACAATGTATGTAGGTGCGTTTGGCAAAACATTACATCACTCACGTACTTTACCGTAAAAATCTTGCTTTCTACGATTTGGGCTTTTCCTAAATTTAAAAGTGCCGCTGAAAGGAAGATTTCAGACCGTGAATGAACGCGAAAAAATCAGCTGATGGCTATCCCGAAAAGTATACTTTTCAGACTGTTTAATTTTCAGTACTAAGGGGGACACGAGGGACAACAGCAAAATAATTAACCCCAAAGGAAAACAGACAGTGCGGAAAAAGAAATGGATGACAGGTGAACTTTTTCGGCTAAACAAAGATGTAACGCCAATAAATGACACAGAATATATGATACTAAAACAAAAACATAAGATGTAATGATAAATAATAGCAGTAGATATAAATTTAAGCAGGTGAAATGTCAATGACTCTGAAATATGCAGCAATCGAAAAACTGCAGGACACAGACGTAGAAGACATGCATAAAATGACAACAGAAATAGAAAGACAGAAAACGTGCTCTTCGGTAGGATGTATATAATCTAAAGAGTAGACAGTCATAGTGGAAAAAGAAAATATATTACAGAGATGGAATTAATACATCGTAGAGGTCTTTCATGACAACAGAGTAGAGAAGTATACTTACTAAATATTTACTACATAACAATTTGGAGCCGAGTTCGAATTCCAGTCGAATTCATTATATTTACTTGCACGCAAATACCCTTGGGAGAGGTATGAATCTATCTCTTCTCCCCCGGATATTGGTTAAATAGTAGAACTTGTATCTGAAAAAAAATCACTCTTATCTCCAAAAAATTGTTAATGTAATATTTAATCGCAAAAAGAAAAAAAAATATTGCAATCTAAAATATGGTTCGGCTTTAAATAACCCCTAAATTGTTGATAAGCCTTAAAAAATACTGCAAAAATAAATAAATAAATAATCGACCCATAATCTTAAAATTTCAGTTTAAGTTAATATTGGCCATGATGAAGAGAAAGTATAAGGATTAGATTAAATTGTAATAGAAGCTTTAAACGATTTAAGGATCGATAAGGTTATTGAAGTGATAAATGAAATATATGACACCGGTGAAAGACTGGATAATTTCAGAGCAATCTTCATGGCACTGACAGGGAAACCACCTAAAAATGAAAGCGAACTCCATCGAACAATAGGCCTGATGAACCATATAATTAAAGTAATAATTACGTATTGATGATGTGAAAATCAAACTTGTGTAAAAATTTAACTATTTAGGTATTGTAGCGATGGAGTAACGGATACGGCTCGAATTGAGGAATCGGTGAACCGAGTTCGAATTCAAGTCGAATTCATTATATTCACTTACGTAATATTACCCTTGGGGAAGGTATGAATACTCTTCTTCTCCCTCTCAGCTATAGGTAAATAGGAGGGCACACCAGGTTCTATAGCCGTGGATGGCCACTGGTCTACAGCAGAATGAAATGGCAACCTACTGCGGGGGGAAAATCTACCTCGTCAGTCATGTATCGAAAGATACATGATCGCGTAAGCGTGTATCACGTATGGCACATAACTGACTGACTGAGTAACAGGCGAGGAAAGTGTGACGCATAAATCTGAAGGCATATTAGAATAGCGAAACATGCCTAAGCAAAGTAAACACTGGAATTATATAATATCTAATCTTCTATATAGCCGTGAATATGGGATAATGATCCCATATTCACAGTTGTGGAGACGCATGATCGCCCATATCCTAAGAACACATGACATATAAAAGAAATACAACTTATTTACTTACTAAGAATGCATAAATATGACTAAAGTTGTGAAGTAATGAATAAGTGAATGTTTTCTCATCTTTAAGTAAATTATATTTATAAAATATATGCTCGTCGATGAAAATAGGCTTATTTTAATCTTGCCAGCTAAGGACGGAAAAGCTTAGTAAGGAGAGCTTTAAGCAAATTTCTAACTCGAACAGAAATTCCCTAAATGTAAGCGTTTACGGAGAGATGTATGTGTGTGTGTGGGGATGGCGTTCATGTGAAGTCTGAACTGGAGGTTGACACAAAAGCGAATGTG